CTCATGTTGTGGATGTTCTGACCTACCTGAAGCTGTGCACTTAACGACGCACTTGGCTCGTCTCCCCTGTCTCCCTCTCGACGCCCAAAGGAAAAGCAGTTAGTCCAAGACGCAGTCCACTCAGGACATTTGACGCCCTATTGGAAAACATCTCCAGAAGATGCCAAGGACGACGTCAGCGGTTCGCTCAGCTCGCGGTTTGCTCTCCATGGGGAGACGTGCTGAGACGTCCACGTGGGTGGTGAGAAGATGTGAGACGTCATTCCTTCAAGTCAATCTCACAGGAAGCGATGCACCTGTTACTAGTAGCGATGCACCTGTTCCTAGTAGCTTCTTGCTCCTAGTAGTTTTGCCAGGAGCTAGTAGCTTCTTGCTACTAGAAGCGATGCACCAATGTTGAGGGCTGATTTGATTGCTCCCTTGAGGCTTGGAGATGTTTGACCATGCTGGTTCTGAATCGTAGGAAGTAGGAAGGCTCTGGATGAATCTGAATGCTGTAAGATCATAGGCAACATGACTGTTCCGACGTGTTCTGATTCCTACGTGTGCTAAACATTCTGGTACAGTATTATCTTCTTGAGGCGAATGCCCCACAGTGTTTCCTGTCAATTTGGGTGTTGCGAGCGGACAGGAGACCTTCAAAAGCCTTCGCCTGAAAGTCTTGAAGTTCCTGAAGGTGCTGCTCAGCCTCGGGACACATCGACGTGTTCCATTTCGTGGATCATGCGGGTCATGTAGATGGCCACTTTCACCATGGGCTGGGTCAGGACATCCGCTCCGGAAGACGATCTTCCCGGTCTTTAAACACGAGGTTATTTAAGTTATTTGTGTTTTGTACTGTAGAGCTTCGCCACAGCGGCGATGCCCCCGCATTCGCGCACGTGCATGCCCCAAGAATATCATTGAAGCATGTTGGGACCTCAAAAGGTGATTGAATTGGTTTCGTGCCATACTACTGATGGAAACCAACGTCCTGCGGCAATTTCACCCTCAACACTCAAACGCACCATAAAATAACCTGGACTTATTCACTTCCGAACTGCACTATAGTGTTTATCTGTCAACGGTCCAGCTCATTCCCTCGTCCTCCAGGATGCGCGGCGATCCTCCGATGAGGCACTGCTGGCAGCCGCGCTGCTGAAGCGGCTGGCGGATGTGCTTTTTACCGTGCGAAAGGATGTCACTGAGTGGATGAAGAAGTGAAGAGACAGAATGTGGGGGTTATGAGGTTGTCGTTGCCCTAAGTCATTTATTCTTCCGTTGACCCGCTATCTCCAAAGGGGGGAGCAGGTGGAAAGGAGACACAGATTAGTTTTATAAGATGAAGAGAACCTTTTGCTGGTGGTTGGCGAGATGTCTTAGCATGCACATGGTGGCAATTGGGTTCTTCCTGGTGGGTCAGGGATATTGTAGTATGTAAATCGTAAGCCTGAGATTCCGATGCGCACGCATGCACGCGCATACCCCGTTCGGAGTTCGGCACGCGACCCGGTGAGAGCCCGTGAGCGTCCCAAAGAAAGTCATGTTGACTCTTGATGAATTGGTAAAGGCCTGCGTGATGCAAAACCGGGACTCGATGGATCAACAGTCAGAATGACACCACACTCCAATTGGGGACTGGACTCTTGACCTATAGGCCTATAGGCCAAAAGGTGCCCTGAAAGCAACACCCACCCCATCCCACTGTGTCTCGGGAGAGTCATATATGTTGGCTCTGTTCTAGTACCTGTAGCAGTCGGTAAATACTTATCACTTATCACTCTTTTAGAGTGTGAGTTGGGCCTGGAACCAGGCCCCATCATCCACTGCGGTTTGGGAAGGGCTGGATAGACCCAGCAGAACGATGCCAATCCTGGGTCTCGCTTCGCTCCATGCAGCACCATTTGCTACCGGTCGCTCGGACCGAGGCGCGGCGGGCCTCCGACCTGCTGGCAGCGGCCCAGAAGAAGGCGCCTGAGGCAGGTCAAGGCGAGGCTCGTGTCGTGCCGTGGCGGGTCGTTTGGCGCACCGCACCTAGGGCTTGAGTGTTTATATTTTTTGTTAATCATGGTTTATCCTATTCGCTGCTTGTAACAGTTAGTCAAGAGTCAAAATATTTATGAATATTTTTTTGTGTATATATATAGAATTATGCAAATCAATCATCAATTTATCAACTCTTACAAGTGATTAGGATACACCCACTGGACACCAGCTGCAAGGTGGTGGACGACTGGCTTGGACAAGAGGAATTCGGTTTCGTGGAGGAAATCCGGCCATGTGGATGTGGATCCTGATTCTCTTTCCATGCTTTAAGATGAGGTTTCACAACGGTGCACATACATTCACTCTTCAACACATCTCATTCTTGATCTTGATAAACAATTTGATATCTAATCTTGTGACTAGGTCCTGCACTTGGACGGATATTCCAATAGACTTGCAAGGCTGCACACGGGCCCTTGGGGCATAGTGGGGCCCTAGCCTTGAGTGGTGGGCAGCAAGAGAAACAACTGATAGGAAGTCCCACTGTCACACCTGCAGCTGTCCTGGCTCACACCGGTGGATTCATGGTGGGGCATTCCACATCTTAGATGGTGGATCCATGTCTTTCTTCCTTCAGCAGAATTAGCGATCCAGAATCTTTGGAGCAGTGGATCCCGAACGCACACGTGTAAACGCGTTCCAGCAAGTTCTATGACTTTACTTGACAGAGGTGACCAGTCTGGGCACTGCATGACAGGCGTTGTGTGGTTTTGAGAAATATCGGTTCCCGCGAGAAATCGCCTCAAGTGAAGGAGTTTTACAGTGAAAATGGGTACATGTTCCATCATATCTCGATGGAACAAGTGCAAAACACCACCGGTTTGTGTTGTTGACCGGTCAGCCACCGGTTTGCGTGGACTGGGCAGGTCCAGCATTGGCGCGCTTGCTGGGGCAGCAATTTCGCTGGAAGGACCGCTTCTTTAGTTAGCTGGAAGAACTGGTGAGAGGTCACATTGGGAGGATAGGAGCTGAGGTTGGAGACCATCGTTAGGAGCTGAGCTTGGAGGCCATCTATCTACTTAGGTTGGAGGCAACTGCTCTCAGGTTTCAGGCCATCGCTAGGTTGGAGGCCATCTATCTACTGGGATCTTTTGGAACCTGTGTTTGATGCTCCCAGCTGTTAACTCATCAACGTCTCACCCAGAAGAGACTTAGATGGAACCCGAAGAAAAGCTGTGTGTTGAAGATGATATGTTCTCATCTTCTATATTATCTGACAGTGTCGGGAGAGGACGTCCTTCACCTGGCGGTTCCTCCACCGGTTTCCATCTGTACTAGTTGGAAGACGATTCCTGACACCGATTCGTGAGCATCGGGTCTACCATGTGACGTACTCCTGTTCTTCCCACGCACCCGGCCGCATCCGGCCGCCCACACCCTGGCCCTGACTGGCTGCAGCCTGGCTGGGAAGACTGGTCTATCTTCCTTCTTCCAAGCTTTCGTTGCCTGGGAGGTTTGCCTAGAGAGTCCCACACCCAGCTGGAAGACGCGCACCCAGCTGGGGGACTCTTCCGCTCTCACAGTCGTTCAGGAAGCCTCTGAGGCCTTGGAGCTGCACCTGGTCCACTTTCCCGAGGACTCAGGAGCTGTTCCTTGGGCATGTCTGGGCTGGCGAATGGGGAGAGGGCCAGAAGTTGGAAACCCTTGGAAGAGGAGAGAGGCGCGGAGCATGCAGGAAAGGATCATTGACGGGGGAGTTTTCTTGCTGTTCTTTTACATAAAATCTGGGCTGCTGGCTGATTTGTGGAAGATTGTGGAAGTATGTTTCCCTTGATTTGCTTTGTTCTTGCGTGGGTTCAGAGACGTAGAAAACGGATGAAAGTAGAGAGATCTGCAAACACATCGAAGCTGACTCAGCTGACAGTCAAGCCGTTCAAGACTTCCGCAGGACTTTCTCGATCGGTTTCCTTTGGTGAGCCCAGGACCGTCTGTACAGCCCCTGTTAACAATCCCGACATTGATGTATTTTTGGTTCTTGCCGCCGCGCCTGTCAAAACAGCCCGTCCTCCGATTTCTTGTCGTTTGACTGAGGCTTTGATGTTCGAACAGGCCCGGGTTTGCTTGGGGTGTTCGCGCCGGCTCTTGCCCGTTTCCTTGATCTTATGCTTCCGTTGAAGTTCAGCAAGGCTTTATAGGTATAGCAGTTCGTGCATCAAGAGTTTCAGATCATGCAGAAAGTTTTCGTAGACATCGGTCTAGTTCCCTTGGTGAAGCTTCGTAGCTGCCTTACTGCTTTTGGGGCTCCAGGATTTGGTCTCCCAGCCACATGGAGGACCGGAAATACTCTTGTCTTTGGAAACTTGGCCAGGACATCGTGCTGCTAGGTGTTTTGACTGTCAGGAAACTTAGGTCATGGTAGCATCCCACGCGAAATGGTGTCGCAGGAACCTGCAGTATGTTGAAGCATGTTGAAACTATTCATATTCCAACGAGCCACTGCGACGTCGGGTGGCTATTGAGGGCCCAGATGAACTACTGATAAGAATAATTAAGAATAGGCGCCGTTTGATGTTGGAAATTCTTAAGACGCAGGGAAACCACATGGGCATGGCTTAGACTGAGAAACGTCTGAAGTGGGTAAATGGACAACATATTACCATCATGTTACCATCACAGTGACATGTCATCAGTGGCCATTGCTTGCAGGCCCGCAACTATGCCCGAAAGCCATAGGATGCAAAAAAAGGTGTGCGACGCGTGTTTGGGAAGGCGATGGCTGTCGACAGTCCTGACGATCTGCCTGGGTCGGATTGAGTATGTGTAGGGTATTTGGGGTGTCCCGCCACCAATGATTCCGGATGATGATGGGTTCAAATTCCACAGGAAAGAATACGAAGTGAACTGATGTGTCTTTCCAAAAGAGGCCGTCAATCTTCACCCAGAGCATCTTCACACCTATTTTTTTGGGGGGTCATGACAAGGGCACCCTCTGCACCCTTTCCCATGCTATGCCTCTCCAGTGCCCCGGCCACGAGGTTTGCACCAATGACGACGACGTCTCGGAAGTGCCAGCGTGGCAGGCTGGACTGTGACGCGTGTGACACCTTTCGGTCCATAATGGGCGGCAAAATTTGACAGGTCCATCGGTCGAGTGTCCGTGCAAGCACCGCGGGCTTCGAGCAGGGGAAGTTTTCGGCTGAGAAGGCCACTTGCCGGACTGTCCAAGATAGCCCTCCCCAAGAACATCAGAATGACTCCCACTCCCACTCTGTTGCGACTTCATCACATATTGGCACCAAGAAGCATTCGTCGTTCGTCTCCGAGACCTGCACCCGGAGCGATGAACAGGTGCGATTTCGGAGGTGAACAGAAGCAACTGGTCACCGTATGAAGCGACTTCACATGTTTAGTCCTGGTTTAGAAGGGATTCCTTACTAAACTAAATAGGTTAAACAGTGGACCAAGCTGGACAGCCAAGCCAAGAACCTCCCTGGGTACGCCGCTAGAGCATGAGGCCTTGAACCTCCCAGCGGCGTACCTGTTCTTCTACGAGTTGGGCAGCCCAGCCAGCCGAGTTGGGGAAAGACCTACCAGACGGTGGTGGAGCGATTGATGAGCGATCGCCAGGTGTGCCATTGGTGTGAAACACCAACAACCGAGCTGAAAAAGTGGATTTGGATGGATTTGGGAGAGAAGATTGATGTGAGATCTTAAGCAGAGGCAGAGGCCGAGCTAGGTTTGAACGTGAAGTGATCTTTTCAACAGTTTTTACTGTAGATTGTTTTTGGGCTTTGTTCGGCGTTTCTCTTCTTGGAGGTCTTGTTTGGGGACATCACATGTATACTGTAGTAGGTTCAGAAAGTGACAGCTTATTTTGCAAGCTTAATAACCTCACCAACGGGTACAAACATACTGTATTATATAAAACATTGTTATTGTTACTATTATTATGTATATATATGTACACAGAGCCCATATATATATATATATATTGTGGACTTGCACAAATAACTGCGTTTTGGCAGCAACCCTGTCTTCAAGGATTCTGGTGTTTCGGGAGTCTTTTTGGGGTGCATGATGCGCACAGCGCCAGTACGACAACCGTTGAGGCAGCTCAGCTCAGATTCATAAGAGACTCCAAAACGAAGGGAAGGGCTGCTATTAAGGTTTTTCAAGGCACAAATCAATCCTAGAATCTGAGTTTGTTTGAGAACCAAAATTATCAGGTCTGAACACGGCAGGTAGAATCTTCAAAAGCACTGAAGTCACAAATTACACCCTGGAAACTACCGTGTGATCCCCTGAGTCGGACCCAAAGCTACACTATGCAACGCAGTCAGTCTGGATCTGCACACTTTTTAGTGTGACTCGCACTCATCATGGGAGTGGTCAAACCCACAGGATGACTTTCGAATTTCATGTCGTCCACATGCTTTAGTAACTCTTGTAGATGTGTCAGCTGCCACTCGCCTCGCCATGTTTTTTACCTGACGCAGCAGTCACTCTTCGATGGTATCCGGCCTGCTCACAAGTGCTTCTTGGCAGTGAGTGGTTGCATCTTCTCTCATGGATGCTCAGAAACGGTGGCATCGTTCACAGAGGGGATGAGTCTGCTTTCCCGAGCTTGCATAGAGGTGTGGTTTTTTTGACCAAAGTGCATCCTGTGTGGGGCCTGAAAAATAGAAGTTGGACGGTTGGAGTTGGAGTTGGTGCCTTTGCCGAATCAACATGAGTGCAAGATCCAGCTTCGCTTTGCTCCAGCTAAGTGTTGATTCGTGAGGGAAGTGCAAGTTCTCAATCTTCTCCTGCAGCACCAGGCCCATGCCCTTCCCTCCAGGTGACAGAGATATCCGATGGATCAGTGCAAAGTTTGAGGAAACACCATCTTGGCCGAGGGCAATCTGCATATCTTTTGACAGAAGTGTTTCTCTGTGTTCAATAGGTGGCTTGGAACCAAAAGCTGTGCAGATCATCAGGCAGATCATCAATCTCAAAACCACGTATATATATATATACATACATACAAATTCTGGCCACCATGAGCCTGGCCTTGTGGTCAGGCCGTGGACAAGGCTGTCGCTGAAGTGGCCAAGGCTCGTGGCTTTCTCTTGGGAATCCTTCCTTCCTATCCTGCTCCAGTGGATTCCGTGGACCTTGGCAATGTGGAACAGGACCAAACAATGCTTGCCTGCTCCAGTGGATTCTGTGGACCCCTGGCAATGTGGAACGGGACCAAACAATGCTTGCCTGCTCCAGTGGATTCCGTGGGCCCTGGCATGTGGAAAAGGTCCAAACAATGTTTGCCTGTTGATTGTGTATGATTTGATTGCAGGGGCCAAGGCTGGACAAACGGCTAGGTCGGGCTCGGGAGAGGCTACGCGTTCGGTGGACACTTCAATCCAGGAGCCAGAGCCTGCTGCAGGGGATTCTGCTCGCAAATTGTGGCCAAGGAAACAAAATGTGGCCCAGGACCAAACAATGCTTGCCATGTCTGGGTCAACAAGTGGGTTTATGCATGATTTGATTGAAGTTGACTTCACCCTTTTTTTGCTTCCAACACTTCTTTAGGGTTGGCCATGGGGTCGTTGGCATTGGGTTGGTTTCACTGTTTCAATTGGTGACCTGTGAAGTCTGGCGCTGATTGATTCAATTTGACTTCACCCTTTATGCACTGTGTGCGGTGCTCTCAAACTTGAACCATATGTCGCAAAGCGTCAGTGCCAGAGATCGTGGCAACTGTCCCCGTTCAGGACTGGATGTCAAGGTTTCATGTAGGACTGAGGAATGAGGTAACAAAGCTTCTTCTTTGGATATTTGGGGGGGGCAAGATACCAGGACCCTCCAAGTTCCAACAGGTCTTTAGTCAAGAGTTGTTGGGCCATTGGTTTGGTTTCACTGTTTCACTTGGTGACCTGACCTGAAGTCTGGTGCTGGTAGATGGCGTAGATCATGATCATCCCTTTGCTCTGGAGGTCCCCGCTTTTTTGCGCTGGCTGACCTATTCTCCCAGTTAAGTCCCGCGTTGAGGAGTGCTCCAGGCAAAAGGTCAACATGGACGAGGTGGTATCCTTTGAGCTGGTTGTCGCAGGTCACCGTGTGGGTGAGACCCAGAACAAAGTAGATGTGCGCGAAAACACAGTTGTCCTGTGACCTGTCCAAGTCCAGGTGTGGGCGTCCATCAGGTTTTGAAAGGGGGGGTGGCTGAAGTGAAAATGAAAACTCGCGCAAAAGTCATCCCTACCGAAACTCACCTGCCCTCCTTGGGTTCCTAGTTGGAACTTGGGGGAGAGAAGTCGCACCCGTGTGGAATACACGTGGTTTGCCTAGGGCCAACTCATTGCTGGAGGGCAATGTATGACATCAGGACACATGGGCTTACGAGAAACATCTAAATCGCAGACCCCTTTCTTAATTACAGACTTCAACCCCTATTCGCGCAAGTCCACAATAGATAGTTGTAATATAACTATTGGCTCTTTTGCATATCTCTCCAATCCATCATTATCACACCTTAAGATTACTTCTGTGTTCCCCTCACGTTGCTGAGTTTGGATTTTGTGTAGGGCTCTAGGGGTGTGCAAAAGAACACCTGAACCAAACGCGCAAATCGCTGGGTTGTTTCCAAGTATTGTTCCTGTTCAGCATCACCGAAGTGGATGCCTGGGTTTGGTCTGCAGCGTCGAGCGTCAGTTTGTTGTCTCAGCTGGGTAGAAAATCAATGAATCTGCCATATGTGGAATTCGCCGTTCAGTGCTCTGTCTAGCCACTGGTCCTGAGTTTTGTCACCCAACAAAGAACAGTTGGTGCTTTGGTGAATTTGTATTTTCTTTCACTTTCTATTTGGTGCCAAGGTTGTATCTTCTTAGCTTGGCTTTCGAAATTTGTCCACTAAGGAGGTGCGAATCCGCTGCGAGATGACGTCAATTGCAAAAATGGACGCGACATGTCTTTCGCGATGCAGGGAGGATGACTTGCCCTAGAAAAACGTCAATCTCAACAGAGGACCTCCATTTATCCGAAGACTGCCTCCCAGGTGGTCCTCGTGAGGCCCTCGATTTTCAGCGCTGTTTTAAGGTATCATTGGTCAGACAGAGATGGGTTTTACCTGTGCATTCCGCACTTTGGACTTTGTTCACTTGATTTGTTTGCTCAGTATTTTTCTTGTGTTTCTGTTGCTCATCCTGAGGCTCAAACCTTGGCTGAAATAGACAAAACTGAAGACAAAATCAGAAATATGAGAGTGGGTCAAAACATCTCAAGACCAAACCGCCCCAATCATGACAGATGAAGATGCCCCAAAAGGCTGCTGCTGCTTCTTTGATAGTATTACAATAATGGTTTTTGACCTAAGAATTCAAGGATCTTCCAACAATGAACATCTATACAAATCACTGTCTAGTGGATTTATGTGATTTCCAAAATCACAAACGTCGCTCATGGTGAAGCCTGATGGTGAGCTCTGTTTTTTTGTTTTGTTTTTGTGACAGTTGCCCGGAAACCACCCACGTTCGACTTAGGAACTTGCGTGTTTGCGAAAACGGGTTCCTGGAAGTGGGGCGAAAAATAAAGGCCAAAATGATCACTGCATGGCCATGATATCACTGCATGGCCATGGTCTTTTCACGCCATTGGTCTAACAACAGGTCTAACCATGCAAGGCCTGTCCTTGGCCATGCGTTGGATGAATGCTACGGTGAATCCGGCCATGTTGGGCTGCTGTGAAGCAGATGGCCATCAAACAGTTGCTTGGAGGTTGTTTGAGACATTCCCAAGCCATCCCAAGCCCAACTCTGCCCAGGGGTGTCGACACAAGCAATCACAAGCTTCGGAGGAAGCATGCAGCAAGCATGCAGCCGTGATTTCTCTTTCTCAAGTTGCTTTGATCCGCGTGCCGCGACCCTTGTGCTTTCAGACACACATGCTGACATACCTGACCCACTCCACACAATCAAGCAGGACCTTTCCCAACGAACCTGCTCGCTTCGCACGACACTGGCCTTGCTAAGGCTCTCCCCGGTGCCCCCGCTGCCGGCGAACTATGCTGAGCGCAGGGGCCTTGGTGGCGCAGTTGCGCAGAGCCTGCAGAAGTGCCTTCAGGTGCAGTGATGAAACCGTGACCATGACCAACCCGGCTGTGACCCGGTGGTGACTCGTCCTTTTCATTGACCTGGGAAGGGAGGCAAGACCTACCAGAAATAGGCGGGGAAGCCGACTCGACCTCCTTGACGAGGTCACAGCCGACTCCTTGACTTTTTAGGTCACAGCGACCGGCGACAAACAGCAGGACGTCGATGATGTTACAGTTGCCAATTCCTGAAGAAAGAAGAAAGGGCATACGCGAGCTGGAACCAAACATCATATTAATCTATATTCCCTATGGCTTCCCAACCGAGGAATCTAATAGGGAACATTCCAAAGAATTGCGGTTTAGCTTAACAACCGCATAAGTCTTTGACATCATAAGAATGGCCCCCCATCACTGGAGCGCGCAACAGTCTCATAATATCTTATCTTATCATTGCTATACACATAATATGGTATCATACAGTTTGCTTTTTTCTTGAGGTACAGAATCATAACCATGAGTGCCCCAGGGGAGTGTTTCTGAGTGTGGCATTCTAATTCCAACACTTTGCTCCAAACATGCTTTCGACGAATGAAACCAGTTGGGTTCATGTTGCTTCGACCCAAAGACACAAGCTCAGCGGCAAACGGGGCACTGCAGGGCGTCCAAAAACACTTAGTCAACCCATCCCTATCACTGTTGGAGGTCCTACTTATTTGTCTACTTAGATCTACTTAGACTTGGCACTTAGCATACATCGGCCCACATCGGCCTACCTGTGCCGACTCTATGACCGGAGAGCGACACCACCAGCCTCCGCCCTCGGCCTCCGGACAGGCCTCTGGCCTGTGCTTGGTGCATGGTGCCGGTGGCATGGGAAAGACGGTACAGACTTGTGCGACGATTCATCAGGAGACCGTGCTGTGCCTTGGATTTTTCGTGACACGGATGGCTTTGGGGTGATGACGGTGATGTGGGATAAGAGATTTGCAGCTCTTTTTTCTCCTGGACTTGTTTTTTTTGAACAAAACGTCAATCGTTCAGTTGTTAGGATTTGAAGTTGGATGGTGGATACCGGAACTGAGCCAATTTCCAACCCTAGGTTACCTCGTGCTCGAACATCCCCGTGCCGTGCTCCATGCCACTCGACCATTCAGTTCCTGCATTTATTTGGACACCCATCCAATATTACGTTCGAGCCAACCCTCTCAAGCATCCCAAGATGGGAGTTCATAATGTTTTGGAGTTCCACCCTTGCGTGCCTCTATTATAGAGGGGACTCCAGGGTCTTCAGCTTGTTGACAGTCAAGCAGACGAGGTCAGAGATCTTTCCCGATGGAGTCGCTTATGTGACGGTGGGCCAATCGCCTGATTTGGTGGCTCGTTGAGATTCGAGATTCGGGCTGACCGTCGCCCGGTGCATGTCGAGTTGACCGAAAAGACAGCGCTGGCACAAAGGAGACCCATCAATAGATAATAAATAGTAATATATAGAATATGTTCTTAAATCTTACATGTTATAAAATAGCATATAATAATGGTCAAACTACCTTGCCTTTTCAATCCTTAGATGTCCACAAATTAGACCAACAGACGCTCCATCATGCTCCGTCTACTTTCACCCCACGGTAGCACCCCCACACCTTGGTTACACATTCGCACACTGCCGGCGTCCCACAAAATCACCAACATAGCAAAGCAACCACCAAGTAGAAGAGGTTCTGATCTTCCAAACGACGCAGAACTCCAGTTTTGATGGTTACTTTTTAAGTTCCATCTCCCTGACAATCCAATCATGTACTGTTCACATACTCGGCCAATCATGCAGGATTCACATACTTGGTGCTAAAGAATAGGGTCTAGTACACCCTCTCATCCTTCTCGCCCTCCAGCGAAAACGCACCGACCAGGTCCACCTGCAGTCGCAGCTCTTGCGCGCCTTCGGTGTCTTCGAGGCTCCCACGGACCTCTCCGACGGCTACGCCAAGCTCTTCGGAGCTCTTGCAGGACCTCTCGAGCGGAACGTGAGCGCGAGCGGGCCGGCGTTCGGAGCCTTCGGAGCGAACAACGGCCACCCCGGTTTTGGGGGTCGAGGGTCGGATCCTCAAGATCGATGCTGGGCCTTTTGAGCCTCCAGATGCTGAGTGTGATGGGTAAAACGAGTATTTCTTCTCAACCCCAGCAAATCAACACAAAGCATGCCAGTTCCAGACCTGGGATGTCATTTGATCCCACTGCCGAACACATCTGAACACAGGTTTGGGATCAACGGCACATGGTGCGTATTAAATTAGGGAGACCTCCGTCCCGGTTCGATCCCCTGGAAGAAGGAAAATCCAGTTAAAAAAGCATAACAAGACCATACAAAACCCATTGGTTGGGTTTGTGTTTGCCTTACGCTTAGAGGGCAACCACAGAGACGATTTTTCATGAAACTTCAAAGGCCAAGAACCCATTGGTTGGGATTCTCCCAATTTCAAATACACACCCGAACATGGCTGGCTCGTTCGGGCCAGCTCACTGGCCCGTTCACGAAAAAGCCCACCGATCTCTGCCAGCGCGCTTGCGCCTGGCTGGCGAGGTCGAAAAGCGCTGCTGATCCTGGACGACGTGTGGGATGCACAGCACTTGGAGTTCTTGGTGCCCTTGAAAGGCTCCGCTTTTAGGATCTCGGACCTTGAAAGGAGGTCACATGAATTCAACAAAGCCGGACCCAAATAGAAACAAGTTGGTTGGTGTCCCCAAAGAGATAGCTTCACGGTTTTCAAGACTGTTTTAGAGGGTTCTGTCAATTTTGCTGCGGCCAGCGACTTTGGGGCTCACCAGGTTCTTTTCAGGCCTCCTCCAGCCCAGCAAGCCTAGCACCCAAATCACCCAGAACGACTCCGTGTCTGGTGTCTGACCATGTCTGACCACTGGCCGTGTCTTCCAGGGCGCCCCAAGTCCTGGCTGCAGAATGCTGTCCTGATCACCTCTCGTCACTTGGATCGCCGTTGGCCGTTCACGATGGATGACCCCGATGCCGGACGGAGGACGCCGGGACATGCCCGGGACATTGGGACGAGACCCTCTCGATTTTTTTTTCAGTGTTTTTGTTGGCATACATGGGCATACATATCCCAGGGACAAGTGGATAGCCTGCCAAACGTCTTTTTTTGGAAGTGGTTTCACCACGTGAATGTTGGTGAATGTGTACATAGTTTGTGGTTCCTGATGAAGTTGACCCACACAACTCCCAAACTACAAAATCATCATGAGTCCACCCAACTGGTCAGTGAGTGCACACACACATATATAATATATGAATTATGAAAAACAATTATATCTAACACGTTTTCCCCACAACTCCTCTGAGGGTCAGCTCCTACAGATGCAACACACACCACCAAGCCTCCAAACACAAATAATTAAGGAATTCCAAGCCCCACTATCCAAGTTCAGAGAGTCTTAAATGGGTGGGTCGGCAACCACATCACCAAGTATGCTTTGTCCGCTCGTTATTTCCCGGTGACCTGAACCTACACGAACCTACACAGTATATTGCCAATTATTTTTTTCTATACAACAATTATTTTACAACAACTCTTCCTCATTTTACACCAGTTTGGGGCTGCTATTTTTTCCCACCACCTTCTCCACTTCACCCACCCGCCCCAGTTCGGCCCCGACCACTGGCCCTGCGGCTGCGCTCTAGGCCGGGTGGATCTGCTGGGCTCCGCGGAGCTGCTGCGCCTGGGAGAGCTCACGGAGGAGGAGGCCCAGCAGCTGCTGAAGTTGGAAGGACCCCGACGGACGACGATGGACGCGGCGAACGCTTCTCTTTGAAAGAAAGAGGGGTCTCCCAAGCAAGAGGGCCCAAACATGAGCACTGAAATGGTGAATTTGTAGTTGATATCTCAAAACATGGCGAGCATGGCTGTTGAGCCGCGGCACATCCACAGCAACCCAGGAGATTTGCCCTTGGTTGCCAAGCTGGCCAAGTTATGCTCCAAATCGCCCCTGGCCCTTTCGATCCTGGGTGCGACAGGCGACGTCGTGGCGTGCGCTTTTACCGCACCACGTCGCGCAAGTGTTTAAACCAGTGGGCTTTCAACAGCGGTCTATGGTGCTCCGAGACCATGCAGATCCTTCGAAATTGGCCATTGCTTTCACGCATTCAAAAACCCGTGTAAATGTTTATCCTTCGATGACCATCGTCACTTCCTTTCCTCAAAAAGCGCTCTGCTCAGGCCTACGAGAAGAGGAGCGAACGAGCTCCAAGCGGTGGGGGAACACATCCGTCCGGACCGGGTTGGAGATCCAAACGGATTTGGCATGTGGCATTGAAAATCGGTTGAACCCTCCAAAAGGTTTTTATATACATTTTTTGGGGGGAGTTCGTGACTATGAACTTCTTACCTGCACAGGACTTTCTGCAGGTCTTCCGAAACGGTGGCCTTTGGGGTACTACTTTTAAGAGGGTGCTGGTATAGAATAATAAATATCTTCAATCTCTATAGGTGAAAACCACAAATTTGGGAAGGGCGATGTGGCTGCGGTGTTTTTTCTGGTTGAGAATGGTGACCTTGGGCCTAGGGCCAACGGCTAGCTACTACACGGCTGGTCAAGTAGCCGGCAGAAGCCCTTGTTTTCTAGAAAATTGCTTATTTTGGACAAGGTTTGTGAGGCCACAGAAAGCCAAGGAGCTTCGAAACCATTAGGACAATAGGATACATAGCAGCATATAGCACCTCTTCTTGTTGTTACTAACCAATACCAGGGCCTGGGCGTGTAGATCATTTCTTTCATGCAGAGGTCACCTGGTCTTCCGATTCCAAACCGGGTTTGCTCCGTTGTTCGGTCCTTGCCTCGACATGTGGCAGCCGAGCTCACGGCACCCGGCAGCCCAACAGGTCCAGCATCTTCAACTCGTTCCTCACCGAGCTCACGGGACGCAAGGAGGCGATGGGAAGATGGGAAGAAACAGCGGTTTTCTGGGAAGAACAGCGGTGGTTTACTACCCCTTCAAGACCACATGCGGTACAGGACCAGTTGGTCAGAGAATCATCTTTCCAGAATCAGCTGTTCAACTTCTGTTCCATGATCTGTTCGCCCAAAACACCCACCACGGAGAGCACCACAGATCTTTTCCATCTGGTCTTCATCGGTCCCTCAACCTGCATCCCAAACGGCCCTGGGTTGGGTGGTCCGCGCCTCGCCCTGAGCGGCGTGGGTCCGGACCTCGCCCTCCTTCGTTGGCTTCGCTTCGGGTCAGTGGCCGGACCTGTGCGGACCGAGCCATTGGAAGAAAAGCCGAAGCCGAGAATAAGGGACCCCAAAGGAGACGCCAGATGGATCCCAAAAGGGCTTTGAGAGGAACCAAAACATGTAACATGCCTTATGATTCCTTTGCACTCTGCCACCTCGGCCTTTCAAATCCATGCCGAACTGCTAGTTCAGAGGTTCAGAGAGGATTTGTAATTGATAATCTTCTAGTGGTTTTGCACGGGCTACCCTGTTGAGATGCTTTTTATATCACCAATTAAGATGTGTCAAAACTAGTAGGCTCCTTGTGCTAGGGCGCGTACGGCGCCCTGCCTCAGCAGCCTCAGGAGCCCAATGCTGTCAAGCGCTGCATCGAGCTTTGCTCCAAGCGCTTGAGCTCCGAGGTGCGCGGCGCTGTCAAGCTCGCGCTGCTCGCCACGAGTGGAGCGAGGGAAACAACAAAAGATTGATCAGATGCAAACGGAAGGGTGAGGGTAGTGCACACCACCCTCCATTTCGCCTTCAATTCGATATACATATATAAATATATTATATCTATCTATTAATTATATATTTAGAAACACATGGCAACTTGGTGTGTTGGAACCTGATGGAACCAAACGACACTGGTTTAGAAACCGGTCTGGGTATATGGTGAAGTGGATGAAGTAAATAGAGATCCAGCTGCTGATCCGAGAGATGCCAGACTGGTTCTTTCGCAAGTCAGCAGAATGGACTCGATCACATTAGATCACCGTTTGTACCGCTTTGAGCCTAAAACCATGGGTCTGGAGCCACATCCCCGACGCCTGCAGAGTCGACGCCCTTCGCCGCTGAGATGTCCAAGGGGAATCGTATACCTATGAATCCAGACACGTGCCATTTACCGATTCTAGCGCAAAGACTCCCTAGGGCTAGCTGCCTAGCTCCTGAGTAGGGACTGGGGTGGGTGGGTTTGGGGGTCGAATACCACCGAACCTGAGGAGATGAGACAGGAGCCCCAGGGACTGTAAATACCGCAAACTCGCCAAGGACAGATGCCATAGTACATGATTGGATTGTCAGGGTATCAGATTTCAGGTGTCGGCACCACTTATTGGTCCGCTTTGCACAGGAGCTCGAGCTCTATTTGGATCTGGCAGTCTTTCCCGACGACGTGCTTCTTCCCGTAGGCGCCTTGCGCCCGGGCCCTGCTGCGATTGGGCACACACCAGCTGGCATCCATGGTCGTTTTGGTCTGCAGCAGCGCATTGAGGCGGTTTTCACACTTGGATCCCCGCATGGAATCATGTTGAGGGGCAGAAATGATGACAATCTACTCTGAAGCGACTGAAACCATCGGTGATGTTTGCCAGCGTCACTCCTACTTGCCATTCGCTGGTTGTGTCACTCCTACTGAGCGTCACTCCACTTCTGTCAGATTTGGACATTTGGTCCTTGAGAACAGTATCCTCCTGTTGATTCTATTCGTTGTGCATACGGTGGAACTCACTCTTCCTCATCCTTCGTCACGGCATGTTCGCCGAGGCAACATTTTTGCTGGGCGTGACCTTGAAGCTTTGAAGGAGTTGGAACGATTACACCTTCTTGGTGGCCTGGATGGAGGATGTCAACAGCGAAGACAGGGGAGGTTTGTTGGGTGAGTTTGGGTGGTGAACGTGGAGGTGAGGAGGTGTTCAATGATGAGAAGCTGGTAGGAGGTGTTGGTGGAAAAGGGTAGGTTTGAGCTTAAGTTAGAGTAGAAAATACGATTTCCGTCAGTGGATCAGACCAAACACAAAGTATACAAGGCCCTGTTGTTCATGTCTGCAAAAGGCTCATCGAAGGTCCATCCGAAGAAGCAGGTGTTTTCATGGTATTTTGCTCGAAGAAGCGTGACTGATTCGACTGAACAGCGTCAACAGTTGATGGCACAGCAGATTCGATGTCTGAAATCCGTTTGGATCCTTCGTCTCTGGAAGACACCGCCAGAAAAGCGATCCGTCAAAAAAGAGCTGCGTCTTGCTTGACAAAACCGTACGTCGGACCTTCGGACCGGATTCAAACATACCATGAAAGTTTGGAGTTTGCAGAGCACTTCTTTCACAGAGAAGAATTACATCCCAAAGAATCCTACTAAGTATGGAAGATCCATCGTTGGTACCAGAAGTTTACCTATGTCCCTACCATGCTTTAAGGGACATATCATGGTTCACCTATGTCCCTTAAACCATCTGAAAACCAATCATCGACGGCAAATGATCCGGAAAGAGGGAATCAGAGAAGCAATCCGACCGCGTCGTCGGTCCACGGATCCATCACAGAAATCCCCCCAATTGGCCAAAGATAGGATGAACCCAACACCTCCCATGAGCCCCGACCTGCCAGGTAGTCCGACCTGCCGGTGCACGGACAACCCTAAACCCTAAACCCAATCTTGCTGGTTTTGCTCTGGTGCTTATGTTTCCGTGATGGGTCGAATCCCCTTCTCGCTTCGACAGCGAATCGGTCCACCACCAAGCTGGTGCCGATTCGTCAAGGCATGGAGAGCTCAGGCCGCTGCGCCACGGTTCGGCTCGACGACACGGGTTGAGCTGGAGCATCCTGTCTGAGTGTACAATGGACTAATACCCTATACTACTTAGGGATCTCGCCCCTTTGAAGGTGCTGCTATAGGGGATTGTTAGGGATCAATAGGGATATCATGATGATGTATGATCATGTTATTTGCTTATTTGCATGGTTTTCGGAAGGCGGGGTTTACGCCAATCTCAATCAGAAACGTGCACTAAGTGCACTTCTCCCCGTGGTCTTTTCACTCCATCAAGTCTCCGAGGGATCTTTCTTCGTTCGTTTCCCCACGCCTCTGGACAGCCCAAGTGATTCTGCCTTCGGCCATGGTAAGCTCTTTTCCATCGGGGCTGATCCCACCCACCCGGCCAACGCGGCCAACGGGTCGTAGAGAGACACGCGGGCGACGTCGCGGGCCCTCCCTACCCCCCCGCAAGCGCCCCTACTAACTAAACTGGTTCTTTGCTTTAAGGCTTTTCGGTTTATTTTGCCGAGCTGGGGTGAATCGCCTGGCATGGGGAATAGAATTGTTTTCCCCCGTGGCTCCGTGAGCAAATCCAAGACCAACGATTGGGACCAGGCATGACCGGAGCTTGTTTAAATCAGTTCCCTGGGCGTGTCGGCGTGTTTCTGCGTGCGCGGACAAGGGACGTCCCGGGTGGAAGAACAAGGGTCCCGCTTTGTGGCCAGGGTTTTGGTTGAACTTCTGGAGATTCATCGAACTAGGGGCTGGATTGCTATGGAAAGAGAACCTGTCTAATGGTCGTCTCGAGTTCAGAAAGCCCCTTATCTTGGGTATTTTTCTGTGACAGGTCACGGTTTTGCGAGGCTCGATTGTTCATTCATTTTGCCACAAGACCCACAGTGTTGTGGTTTCCATGGCAGGTGATGAGCAGCTCGTGAGACTTCATGACTTGTCTCTTGAATTCGCCGCTTGGACAAGTGGCTGGTGGCAACAAGTCTCATTGAATTCAAGGTGACAAACAGCTGGTGACAAGCCGTCAATGGCTATTTAGTGGCATATATACTTCAAATTGACCTGTTTGTGTGTGTGTGTGTTGTATATCGGATAGCTCGAAAGTCCCAAAAATGTGTTGTGTATATATCTGTATATTATTGTATATTACACCATTTGTAGATTGCATACAAACTCTTTGTATATAATATATCATCGTCTCGGAAAGTCCCCGACTAAAACCAGCCAGAAGTGTTTCTACAAGAAACATGGTTAGCTCAAGGGGAAGACTGGTGCATTGGAGGAAGGCTTCAGTCAGCATTGGAAGGTCCGGCTGAAGAGAATCACTGAGTCCTGAAACATCACAAAAGCTGGAAACTAGACCCGTGACAGCGTGACATGTGTAGCATAAAATGTGGATTTATGGATCACTGTTCTTTCATCAGCTGATTCTTGATGATTCGTGGCAAATTCCGCTGCAACAATATGAATGCACCTTCTTTTAGAAACTCCTTGGACTGCAACGGCCGGATCCTTCGGTCCTCTCAGGTCAAAGAGCATGCGGTGAAGCGGGGCATGGGCGAGAAGAAGCTTCATGAGGAACCGCCCGCTTCATCCGTTGGGGGGGGCGCCTGAACGATGTATGCATCAGGGAACGACCGGTCGATGATGACCTAGAAACGGTGGCGGAGGGCCGGTGTCCATTTTCAACCAGAATGCAAAAGGATGGAGGCCCGGGCTCTTCCTGCTTCAGGCCTGTAGGCATCTGGATACGCATCGGACCTGCCGGACGCGGAGCCCACCGGTGTCGGCCAACGACCGCAACGTGCTGCGACCGTTGTCGCGACCGAAGGATTCGGCGTCTCAGTGATGCCACTCATCTGCCGTGCTCGGCGTGCGATCTTGGAGTCACGAAGTGCACAAGTCCTTCCGAGCATGTCTCTCTTGCCGGTGAAGCCCCAATTGGCACCACTAGCCCGTCCTATCTCAGACGTACTTGCACCACTTGCCCAAATGTCTGTATCTCCTGCGCGTCCATCGAAGATACAGACTTCTAAGCCCTCTCGCCCTGCTTGCCCCACTCGCCCTAACCCTGCCCTGCCCCTGGAACCGTGGAACACATCCCAACAGTCATTTGGGCTCAACCAGGTCAACCGGAAAAAAAAAAGACAGATTTACCAGCTCCCGGTGCTGATGCGCTCGTCGTGTCAATCCTTTCAAGTCGTGTTGATGGAATTTGCTGTTCCATGTCTTGCCTATCCCTAGGGCTCCAAGTACCTTCTGAGAAGGTGTTTGGGGTGGGTGCCAGGAGGGTCCAAACACCTTCTGAGGAGGTACTTGGAGCCCTAGGGTATATGATTGTCACAACCCCCGTCGGTGAAGGAACCTCCATCAGACATGGATGGGGTGCCAGTACCATCAAACCTTTGAAACCCGTGTACTTATATATTTCGATTTGGGATTTGGAAGTTCCAAAGTTCCGTTTTGGCCTATTTGTGATTATTTGTGGATTATATTTTCTTTATCCAGCTGGCTTTCAAGTAGAAATGCAGAAGATGGTCAATCATATATGACGATGACCATTCCTGATTTCATGTTGTTTCTGTCACATTCCAACAACTGTCACACATCCCCTATTGAGTTGGTGTAACACACTCATTGGCGTCGACCGAAAACCGCGCATCCGCAAGCCCGCAAACGCGGTTTGGTACCCGGTCCAGGACCTTCTCGAGAACTACAGCCGATGCTTGAAGGCCGATGGCTGATGGCTGATGGCCATAGGGCGCGGGTGACGGAGATCGAGACCCAGTCCAAACACTGAAGAAACATGTAAGAACCTCTTCTCTTCAGGTCTCTTCTCGACCCCAGGTCCAGTCTCCTCCAAACAGGACGTGAGCCATGTAGGTAAAATGATCAACTGAAGAGTAACATGTGGTCGACCTGACCGGATTGATTTAAGACAGTTCTGATCGTTCGGAAGTGAATTTTTGCCGACTCGTGGTCGAACTCATCCATCTTTCCTTCTGGTGACTAGCATAGTTCTATGGATCTTAGGAAAATCCATTTGGTCATTTCACCATGGCCAATCTGGCTTTAATCAGGCTCTTTCCATCCCTAGGGATTGACATACCTTCTCGGAAGATGCTTGGACACTCCAAACTTACATAAGAGTGTCTCCAATCAGAGGGTATTTGGATCCATGTGGATGCATTCCATGTTCCACGTGCGTCCCGTCATGTCAGAGTTCTCCTCACCTCACCTATGATACCTATGACCCCAGGCATGGTCCCGACTGAGTTGGGAAGCTCTTGGCGTCCCGCAGTTGTTCGCTCGAAGAACGGAGCCGAGCCGCTCGAAGAACGGGGCCGCAGCGGCCTCGGTGGGCGCTGGAGGCGCGCCGTCCGATCGCGGTTTGCTTGCATGGGCCGTCCGATTTCGGAGGTCATGGTAGCGATTTAGGACCGAAGGTGGTGAAGTCTTGTGAATTTTCCACGAAACCATGTGAGGACACTGGCGGGGTGAAACGTAGGGGTTCTAAGATACAGTTCTATAGGGCTCCAACTGAAGCTGAAGAAGTACTGTTTTCGGGGTGCGGTGCATGTGTGCAGGTGCATGTTTGGAAGAGGTAGTTGGATCTAGGATGCCTTAATCAAGTGTGGTGCCTCATCGATATGATGCCCTTTTTCAATCCCTTTCGAGATCCTTTTGATCTCATGAAACGGAAACTGTACTTACTCTTGGAAAAGGGAGACCTCCATGGTCAAGGTCAGTGTGTTGGTCTATTTTTCTTCGTTCAGTCCACGAGCCTGAGTGTCCCTCCCCTCTTTCTTCAGCTCCCACAGCAACGGGCTTTGAGGCGCCCGCCAATGGCCGGGTACCGTGGTGGAGGTTCGCCCAAGTATGAGGAAGGTCAGTGCCCTGCTGGGAAGAGAGCCGGTCGACCACGAAGCTGTCTGGAACTATGACCCAGCTCGTGTAGACTTCAAAACTCCTGTCCCATCCTCAGGTTCGGTAGTTAGACCCTCCTGGCACCCACCCCAAACACAATCTCAGGAGGTTGGAGTCTGGAGGTGTTGGATACAGTATATAGTAATGTCATTATGAGATGTGATGTGTATCAGATGTTTCCAGTTTCTTCCACATCATTCAGGCTACTGATTACTAGTAACAAGAAGCTACTAGGTTGGAGGCCATCGCTAGTAACAAGGGCTACTAGCTGCTCAATGTTTCGTGACTCGATAGGGCCACTCCGGCTGATCAAGTCAGTCCAAAGCACAGGCTGCTGTTTGGGGGGGGGTGGTGATGGAGCTCCTTCTCTATTTCTCCGACATGGCTGGCAGAACTGTTCGGCTTCTTCTGTTCTGCTTGGTATCAGAACTGCCTGGCTTAGCCACATTGACAAAGCATTCCGCTCGGAACTCCAGGACCGGACCTTGATCCCTCCCGCTGGGGGGGCTAGCTTGCTCCGGGACGAGCTTTTACAGCCATTCTGCAACACCTACCTGGGTGGTGGTTTCAGATATCTTTTTGTTCAACCAATACTTGGGGATTATTGAACCTACTAAGATCTTTCAAGTGAGCAAACCACCAATCGGCAAAACAATGACTCAGCCGTTGGTCTCCAGCGTGGTGCGGGAGTTCGCCCAGACGGATCAAAGGATCGTTGAATGATCCTGCAGCCATTTGGAGGGAAACAGGTCCTTGAGTGTATCCTCAATCCAGCATCATTAGCAACCCGCAAAAGAATATTTCAGAGCGGCGAACGTCCTTTTCCAGCTTGTGACATGCCAGTTTGGAAAACCTTGTTGCGCATCAATCAAACCAGTGAAATCAGTGTCTCTCAAGTTGCCAAGAACGCGGATCTGTACAAACCTCGTTCCCAAGCAAGCTCCGCTCCGCTCGCGCTTCACATCCAAGGCCATGGGACAAGAGTTTCATGCCTCAGGGGGTCATGGAAAAGGACACGCTGCTCTTCGCGGTCCCAAAGAAGGGGAGGACTCGGTACCGAGAGCCCGTGGACATCCGTGGACATGGTTTTGGGCTGGGACCAGGAAGGTCCGAGGCACGATCATTTTGCAGGAAGTGCTGTTGTGGCAGACAACATATAAATCTGTCTAAATTATAGCGACGTCACCCGACGTCACTTAAAAAGTCGACCTAGTTTCTGAAGACAGGGTGGTCCTTCTTTGTTTTTTACTTTTTAAACAACTTCCACGCCAAGCACTTGCAAACCAGGCCTTGCATATTTTTCAGTTCACGCTGGTTTGCAAGACGCCGGGCTCCCCTGGCATGGGTGAGTATAGGTGGAAAATGACGGAGGGATCGATCCAAGGGACGTTTCGATCCCAGACGCGCGTTCTTCAGCGCGATCACTGCGGGAGAAAGCCTAGCTCCTTGAACAAGTATGTATTTCCCACCTTGCAAGCCAGCCCATGAAGCTGTTGCCAGGAGGGAAGCGGGCATGCCGCAAGAGTGAAAAGAGAGGGGACGGCATTTTGTTTTGCAAGGTTTTTTCGTCACGCTTTTGAAGCTTCGTGTGAAGTGAGGGACCTCACGCCGTACCTGACTTGTAATATCTCGTAGTAAATCCTAGGTTGTTGGGTTGATTCTTTCTTCTCCCCTGTGACGTCACACTAATTTTGTTATTTCACGCGATTTAGTATATAACTCAATTTTGAAATACAAAATTCGATCTATCGATCTACGGACCTACGAATTGCTATAACTCAGCCAGATAAGTGGGCATCCCAAAGAACGATTCAACGCTCTTGAAACTCTACTGAATGCAAGATCGTGAAGGAGGAGGAGGGGGGAGGAGGAATCCGTCATCCGTGGGATATTCAATACTACCCAAGTCGTTTGGTAGGATGACCAGGTCAATGGTGGGATTCGGGCACATTTTTGGGGCCGTGAACCTTCACGCATTTTTTTCGCTGCAAGTCAGCTGCAGGATCCATGAAGATGCTGGGCCTTCCCAGACTTGAAGGGTGGGAGGATGGGCAGATTTGTTGTTTGATTAAATTTAATGGATGCTTTCAGGGAGACTTCGTGGGTTGGGAACTCTGAGAGAGCTGCTGATGAAACATCCAGGTGTTGTCTAAGTGTCCAAATCCTGAAAGATGTCCCAAAGACGTCAATAGCTCCTTCAAGTTCATATTCTCACACATACACACCCATTATATATAACAAACGCATAACATACAATAAAAAAAACATAAACTACTAAGACACCAATGCATATCTTTGGAAAAGGCAACCGGGTTTGGTCGTTTTGATGGAAGGAGCCGGTGCTTTAAAAAAATCGAATCGAACACATTTTTTGGACAGGACGGAAAGTGTGCTGAGAACATGGCCTACAGCATTTGAGTTGCTGCAATCAACTATTTTTTTAAATTTCGTTTGGTTTGCTCATCTGTGGAAGGGTTCCTTCATGTTTCAAAGGTGTCAGCCAGTGCGAAGGTCAGAAGAGCCAAACTGACCTCGCGAGAATTTGCCTTCGCCACATGAATTTTGTACTGATCCAACATTTATATCGATGTTGTCTCAAGTCCTAAATTGGCAAATGTTCCTGAAAAAAAATCACTACCAGGACCCCCCAACAGTAACAGGTCACCACCTCCAACTTTTAAGTCTGCAAAAACCTCCATTTGGGAGACCTGTAGAGTCGGGTGTTGGTATAGGTTCACCATTTTCATCCATGCATCCGCAATTCTTGCACCTTCTGCCAACTCACTGTCTTCGTTCGTCCCACTTCTTCTCTCACTCCCTCCCTATAGGTCATGAAGATCCTCAAGGGTGCAGGCGTGGACGCCAAGCGCCCGGAACGCCTCGATGTGGCGATGTGCAAGGACCTCCCCATCAAGCTCGTGCCTCGGCACCCGGCAGGCGAGTCGAACCCGAACGGCGCCTGAAGGTCGTTCAGGTTCCACCACGGCGCCTGGCGGCACGGAACGTGTGCGGAACGTGTGACTGGAATCTCCCGGTTAGAAAACGGCAGGTGGCTCGGGTGTGACCGGCAGGTGGGCTCGGGTGTGCTCGTGGTTTTGGTGTTTTTTTCTGTTTCGGTTCAGCGCAGGAGGAGGTGGTTTTCTGCTGGCAGAATGAGGTTTTTCTGCTCTGGGTTCGACCAAAACTCTGCGCAAGGCTTTTGGGGATTGTGAAGATTGATCCATTCAAAGAAGACAACCGACTTCGTCGGTCGTAGGATTGGACAGCTGGGGCACATCCATGAATCACGTCTAGCCCTAAACCGCAGTTCCCGAGTTCCCTTGTGCCGGTTGTTTGACCTCTTTGCCGTGGGAGGACCTGCATGTCGTATCTACAGACGCCATCAGACGCCCCAAGGGAGACGTACGTGGCGATGTCCACAAGAGCGGGTGTTCACAGCAGGAGCTTAGCTTCAGAAAATGACATCGCCCCGGACTCCTGTGATGAAATGGGTGTATTAAGATGGTCAGACCTTCCGAAGACCCTCTGGAAGAAGGACAATTGACCAACACCTATTGGCTGGGTGTCTCCATATCACGAAAGGTATATATAACCGTCATGGACTTCTACCAGGGTTGCTTGTGATTGCCTGCTACTTTTCGTTCACCCCCTTCTCTCTCAAGTTAAATTACACACCCAAATAGCCCCATACGGGGTGATCATGAAATGCGTTCAACATGACCTGAGAAGAAGAGAAGCTTCCAGAACGGAGTCATCCCCAATTTCCTGACCACTTTGTTGGAAAGGGCCTTTCCTCTGTTTATGG